ATGAGCATTTTTCCTATGTTTGTTGGTGTCATAAATGTCTTCTTTTGAAAAGTGTCTGTTTATATCTTTTGCCCACTTTTGAATGAGTTTGTTTGTTTCTTTCTTGTAAATCTGCTTTAGTTCTTTGTAGATTCTGGATATTAGCTCTTTGTCAGATGGGCAGATTGCAAAAAATTTTTCCCATTCCATTGGTTGCCTCTTCACTCTGATTATTGTTTCTTTTGCTGTGCAGAAACTCTTAAGTTTAATTAGATCCCACTTGTCTATTTTGGCTTTTGTTATCATTGCTTTTTGTGTTTTAGTCCTGAAGTCCTTGCCTCTTCCTATGTCCTGAATGGTTTTGCCTAGAATAGATGCAATAAAAAATGATAAAAATGATAAAGGAGATACCATCTCTGATTCCACAGAAATACAAACTACCATCAGAGATTACTACAAACAACTCTATGCACATAAACCAGTAAACCTGGAAGCAATGGATCAATTCCTGGACACTTACACCCTCCCAAGACTAAACCAGGAGGAACTTGAATCCCTGAATAGACCAATAACAAGGTGTGAAGTTGAGGCAGCAATTAATAGCCTACCAACCAAAAAAGTCCAGATCCAGATGGGTTTACAGCCGAATTCTACCAGATGTACAAAGAGGAGCTGGTACCATTCTTACTGAAATTATTCCAAACACTACAAAAAGAGGGAATTCTCCCTAACTCATTTTATGAAACCAACATCTTTCTAGCATATTTTATGTTGCTATATATTTAATTCATTCTATAATATTTAACTGTTTATTTTTTACTCAAAATTTTGGACTTGTTGATGGCCAAGTCCAAAACATCTATATATTTCTAGTCATATTTCCTTGCCTGTAATTTATTAATTTATTTAACAAATATTTATTGAGCACACACTGTTATGTATTATTCGTTGTGCTTAGGGTCAATCTGTAGAAAACAAAGTCACTGCCCTTCATATGGCTTAGCAAATCAGTATTACAGTTTTAGCAAATCAGTATTCATTAAAAAATATTATTGAATTAAATGAAATGTAGGCCTTAAACCTGTGGTATTAGCCACTAAACAATGAGTTAAACTGAAGAAAGCTCCAACCTTACCTCACCTTTCTTTGCCCTCTAGCCACATTGGCCTCAATTATCTGCTCACTGTCATCAGTGTACCAAGCATATTCTTCCACATCACATCTCCTTCCTGTTCCTACACTCAGCCTCTAGTTATCCTTGGTTAAGTCTTTCTCATCTGCATCTATTTCCCCTAGTATATTTCTTTATAAGATCATGTTTCCCTGTTTTGGAATAATTATTGCAATTCTGCTTTTACAGTTATTTATTTTAATGTTTCGATCATCTACTGTTCCCACTAAATCATAAGGTCCACGAGTAAATGTTTTAGGTCTGCTTCCATTTGCAACATTACACTACTATACCTAGTGTATATAATAAATGGTTAAAATATATTTGTTAAGGAGATATGTAAATTCCTAAACAACCAGAACAATGTAAGTGTCACACAAGGCTAGATTTCAGCTCAAGGTTAAACTTTTCTTCTGTCTCTACTCAGAAGTAGAGGCCTTATGACAGAAAAGACAAATGATAAAACCTCTTAAAATATATGATCTTATGCTTACTTAAGCAGAGTATTCTTCTTAATACAGTAATTAACACCATAGTCTCTGAAGAACAGTTAATACTTGTTCTAAATAAACATTAAAATCTTTTTTTTATATGTGCTTATGTGGTTAGATATCAGGTCATTCAAATGTTAAATTATCTAACCTTCCAAAATGCCATGTTTTACTTTGCCTTGAACAAGATTGGGAAATAAGGCAAACTCCATCAGATATTAATATCCTTGATGTGTATTATACTTCTGGGCTGATATACCCATGAATACTTTGGAGTTTTACTTTGATTGAAGCCTTGAGAATCAAAAGCCAAGTTTATCAGTAACATGAAATACATTTACAATAGAATATAAGAAATAATTGATATATACTATACATAGGTATATATTTGTGACAAAATTTATTAAAATTAAGTGAAAGAGGAATTTTGAAATGTTTTGCCTACTTAGATACTGATTCAAATTAAAAGAGCATCTAATTATTATATAACTTCTTTATACCCTTACTGACTCTCATCCTCATTCATTTCTTACACCCTTTTGTTCTCAGTTGGACATTCTTCTCCCTTAATTTTCTGTTCAACAGGTGTTAGCAGATGTCTTATTTCTACCTGCCTCCACCTGTGCATCCCATCACTATTCTCTTTCAACATCCCTCTTTACTCCCTGCTTTACTTTGATTTATCACGAAGAATTCCCATGGGGTTCCCCTTTCTTTCTACTGCAATTACTTTCATTTTGGGGGAACTAAAGTTGTATATAAATCTAAAATAGTTGTTTATTCATCCATGTGTTTTAAAAACTGTCTTTCCTTGAGCAAGCAATTGCCTTTTGAGCTTTCATACTTGTCACCCTTAGGCTTTATTTTTTAATTACCTTCTATGAAAGTACTAAGTGTACATTGTTACAGACAGTATGAGGGCTCTGAAGACAGACTGAGGTGGAGTATGCCTCACCCATCACCACTGCATTTAATTACATCTAGACAGATTATTTTATGTGTCTAAGACAACCATCAAATGGGAAAACACCTACCCTAGAGAACTGTTGTGAATGTTAAATAATATGTCCTGTGTGCAGACCTTCATTTCTCACTGTACCACCTTTCCTATTTCCCATTTAATTTTTGGTACATATGCCTAGCCATATATGGTACACTTTCTACTTTGTTTCATAAAAAAAAAAAAAAAAAAAAAAAAAAAAAACTGCTCTGTTGCATTGTTGCATATTGATAAGTAACTGGGATTCTGCTAACTTTACTTATGTTATTTTCAATGTTCTTTATCTCTTCAGTCCACACGGTGAAGATTGATGTTGACTATTGTTATCATATATTGCTCATTTCAATTAGTTTAAAAGTTACTTGTTCCAAAGTCACACAGCTCATATGTAAGAAGGTTGGGCAAGGCCTTCCCGACACCAAAGCCAAAGCCGCAGCTCCTATTGTAGCATTCTGGCATGTACCTTGAGAAATACAAGACATTAGAGTGGTGGAAGTGTTAATTCTCGGTCAACAAGAAAGGACAATGCACTTAACAGGCAAGGAAGGTGAATACCAGACCTTACAGGAACATAAAGATATTCACGCAATAACTTTTGAACTTAGGTTGATGCAAATGTAATTTTGATTTTTGCCATTACCTTAATTGCAAAAACCACAATTACTTTTGCATCAACCTAATACATATCTGCCCTTTTGGTGAAGGTTAAAAGCAACCAAATGAAGTAAACAGGAGCACAAAGAAAAAGAGCAGGCATATCTGTGCCAATGCAGCATGAGAAGGTGGCCAGAAAAGCTCAGAAATGTATCAGTTTGTGAACTGCAGGTTGTCCATAAAGTGTAAAGCTTATGAGAGGAGCAGTAGGGTAGGGTTCAGTGGGAAAGAAGAGGAAAAATGCCACAAAAACAATTGGTTTCACAACTATTTCCACAGATCACCAGTACAGTTTCTTCACTGGTCACATTCCTGTTGATATTGTTAAAGCAGATAGCTGACAGATATTTAAGAAAGCATGTATTTTTATTAGAGATAAATTTATTTTATTTAAAACTAAATAAGGCTTAGCTTTTGGGTTCTTGAAAGTAGAGTCAGGTGGAGGAGAGAGTATGCCTCACCCCTAGTAACTGCAGTTAAGTTCACTGCAGTTAAGGACCTTGATGTCCTTTTTGGTTTTATATTTTTACGTTCAAAAGTATTTCTAATGCCAAAGTAAAAAGTTCACAAGATACTTTAAATAAAAATATTTCATACCCCCTTTTAAAAATACGATGACAATAATGTACCCTAAATGATAATCTATGTATATCTTGGGCTCTTTAGGCTTTCCAGAAAAAAGTCTTAAGGTGATCCAAAATAAATTGTTAAAAGTTATTTGTAGACAAATAAAAATAATTCATTACTCTACATATTTTTAAATTCCAAAATTCGAGAATGCCCTTTTTACTTCATTGTAGTTTAATTAAAGTGGCCATGAAATCAAATGTATTCCCAATTCAAGGAGCATGTGGTCACTCAGAAGCCAGATCAGGTTCCTTATTTGTATATACTAGCGAAAAAATGCACAGAATATATTGTTGGTTTAAGCCCCTGAAATAGCCAGGGTCATTGTTCTTATTTGCTTTACAGTGCAACCTCAGGCTTTAAGATTTAATTATTAGTTTTGATATAGGAAGATAAATTCCTAACATTAAAAGGATGATTCATTTCTTAAATTTATTTTTGACAGATGCTGAAAATCTCACAGCTTGTATTCTTTCTGAGGGATAATGGATAAAGACCAAGTTCCGTATTTTATACATGAAAGTGGGACTCAATTTGTTATAGAGAAGCTTTTAATCTTTGTAAATAGCCTGACATGCTGGATTTTATTTAACAATTGACTTTCATAGAGAAGGAGTAGGCATTTCTTCAAAGAACCTGACCGAATGCTGTAATCCATTTCTTTCTGAAATTGCAGTTGTTAAATTAGGCACAAAATATTTATGAATGTCAATTTGCCTTTCCAGCAATTAAGGAGTTCAAAAGAATCCCTTTGTGTTTTCTGGCTTTGAAATGATTATATTTATTATGAACTGGCCCTTCAATTCCTTCTATCAAATACTGTGGAGGTTACGTTAAAGAGGGAGACATCAGTTCTGAACAGGTGTGGAAAAGGGTTCCTTGATATATAAAAGTGTTCTATTTTAAAGCCATTTTAGCAGTTTTAGCACATCTACTGCTGTGAATCCTTGTGGAAGTAGGTGGCCAATTCATTTCTCTTTAAAGGAAAGAAAACTCAGAATCCTAGGCCTAATTTTAACATGACGTGGGTCAGTGGATGAGTTTACTGAAACTTTCTCTTCCTCTTTCATTGTCTCAGTGTTGATCCTCCTAATTGTCACTATGAGAAGACGGAAAAAAGAGCCCCTTATTTTTGATGAAGAAAGAGACATCAGAGAAAATATCGTGAGATATGATGATGAGGGCGGGGGGGAACAGGACACGGAAGCATTTGACATGGCTGCACTGAGAAACCTCAACGTCATCCGAGACGCCAAGACCCGGAGGGATGTGACTCCAGAAATTCAGTTCCTGAGTCGACCAGCTTTTAAAAGCATCCCAGATAATGTCATCTTTAGGGAATTTATTTGGGAAAGACTAAAAGAAGCTGATGTTGATCCTGGTGCTCCTCCTTATGACTCTCTGCAGACATATGCCTTTGAAGGAAATGGCTCAGTTGCTGAATCACTCAGCTCTTTAGATTCCATCAGCTCAAACTCTGATCAGAACTATGACTACCTTAGTGACTGGGGACCTCGCTTTAAACGACTCGCGGACATGTATGGGACTGGCCAAGAGAGTTTGTACTCATAGCCTTGGAACCTTAATTTGAAATGTACTGAAGAAAAAGTAGCAGCAAAAAGAAAAGAAAAAACAGCAACAACAACAACAGTAACACTGCATACAGAAAACAAGAACTCCACTTGCTGGAGAGAGATGGTTGTAAATATTTCTCCATTTTTAATTGTTTAGGTTTCTGCCTTGGTGAGGCATATCTTCATTAGACTTATCTAAGGGACTGCACTGACCACAGACTCTGAGCATTTGAAGGCTTTTTGATAAAAAGAAATGCTCAGTGGTTTGTGAATAGATAGCAACTCTCATATACCTGCAAAGGCACCAAACCTCTATGAGAAAGTAGTGCCCTGTGTCGTCAGTGAGTCAAAGATGCCCTGTACATACCTTCATGGTACTGTCATTGAGAGGAAAAGAACACGATGAGCTATTGAAACACCCTGGAACTCCTTGCATATCAAAACTTGGGACAAATTTAATTTACAGAGATGCTTATAGCTTACTATATTACAGAATCCAGCAGAATTCTATTGCTCTTGATTAGCAGAAATATTTTATTTAGCAATATGTAAATTCTCAGAAATTCCTTCCTAACTGAAAACCCTACCACAAAAGCTGATAAAATTTGGTTTAAGGCAACAGAAACCATTGTTTATCCAATAAATTATGAAGTGTTCCAAATAAGAAAAAGGTAAATAATTTTTAAAGTTTGTGATAGTTTTGAGATGCTTGTGTAGGTATGATAAAAAAAAAAGTTGCTGTCTATTCATTGATTTTTATTATCTCTTCTGATTTGTACAGGAGAATATCTTTTCTTTTTCATTTGACACATGGTGTTGTATTTATTTTGGAGCTCCAATCTCCACTAAATTCAGGTCCATCATACTGCCTCATAGTATTAAACTCATCAGAACATGCTGATTTTTCTCCAGCCCAAGCTACATGAAGGAAATGAAGCATGGAAATGGAGAAATAATAGTAAAGCAATTGAGCCCTGTTGCAGTTCACATCTCAAAGAGGAGCACAGCTACAAGGACATATAAATTGTTCTTCTGAGCCATTAGAATGTCAAAACATTGGAGTAAAATATTTGTATTTTGGAAAGACTTCAGAGAGAATTGAGATTTTCTTTGATGCAAGAATTATTTGTCAAGGTCATGAGTTCCACGTGCTCCAAAGACTTTCAAGAATCCGTTTTCCAGCCTTTCTTGCTGCAAACATATTGAGTAAAATATTGTTTTTTTAAAAAAATCTTAAACAGTATAAAATTATAAAGATTAAAACCGGTGTTTAAATTCTGATGCAGACATGTCCCTTGAGAACTAACCAAACAATGTATAATTTCTATGTGGTTTAGATGTGCCAAAGGAAGGAGGGCAATTGCCAAGTAATCATGTGTTTAAATTTAAGATGAGCTACTTAGAGTATGATTTTCATTACCAAAATAATATTGCTACCTATTATTTTTCCTAGATTAATACTAGTCTAATGTGCATATATATTCAAGTAAGAATGGATTTATTTTTTCCTTTCTTTCTCCTTTTAAAAATAATTCATTGTTGGGTTCCTAATAATAGTCAACACTGTGTAGAGAATCATGTTCTAAAAGTGCTTTTTGAAAGGCAGACAGTGGAATTAGAATATTAGTATGTTGATTACACAAAAAAGAACTATGTAGGATTCTGTAAACTTGCAGCCCAACTTTAGAAATGAAGTATGTAAAAGTGGCCTTCAGCTTCATAAAAATAAATAATTCAATAAATTTGATTATCTGCAAACAGTCCTTTAATTTGAATAAAGTTTTATAAACGTTGTTTTATGACTATATAGATATGCTTCTTGCTGTATTAATATGCATATATATTAAAACTATATATAACAGAGTGAACTTTATTTACACATGCAGGTTTTTCAAATTAAAAAAAAAAAAAAAAAAGCCATGTACTTACCCAGATCAATAAAATCAGAGCGTGGTACAGAAATTATCTATCTGTTAAATCAGCAAGGTTCTGAGAAAACAGTTTGTAATAACTCTCTTATTGTCTGCAAAAAGATACACTAGTTTAGTACATTTGGATTATGTTCTCCAAACTGCTGGTTGTTGCACATATCAGTAAATGGAGATGTGGATGTATTTTAGAAAAGGAATACACACACATCATTCACTCTGCTTTCTCTCCTTTTAAAATGTTTGTATTTTCTCACTAATTTTTTTAAATGTTTGCCAGTGATAGATTGGAAAAAGAAAGGTTCATATTTAAATAATTTAAAATTCTTGCATATACCCAATTGCTATTTATGTGTGAATGATTATATCAATAGAGTATTAAATTTGACTCAGTGGTGTATTTTAAAATTTAAAAAAATTTCTTGAGATGGCTGGAAGAATATTCCTAATATAGGTAGGATTTATATGAAGTATTCTAAGATTAATTGTAATAGTGGTGAATTTTTTACTGTTGTTTATTTTAGTTTTATTTTTTCTTCTGAAATCTAATGCTATATATCATGGTATGACAATACTTGAAATGTAGGCTTTGTTTTAAAGCAGACATTGAAGAGTTAATTGATAAAATCAATCTTAAATCTAGTTGGAAAAGTCTCCAAAAATCATTGAAATAAATATATATTAAGTTGCTTAAATTTAGTATTATACTGAAACCAACTAGAATGAGCTCACAAGAATTAATTATGCACATCTCTTCCCAACTCCAGGTACAGTGATATCATTTTGGTTGGTTGATGTCAGCCATAGTGGGATTATTTAGACCACAACAGTAATCAGCAAACACTACCCTTTTCTCTGGAGAACAAGTTGTTAAAACATTTACCAGCACTCTACAGCTTAAATTATTTTATAAAAGGAAATTTCATAATTGTAAATATAGTATGAATTTATATGATTTAAAATAATGACATGAAAGGAATTTATGCTATATTTTACTACTAAATATAAATGCATGTGGTAGTGATTTCCTGATGTGAAATCCTTGGAGCTACTTGTGAATAGGGAGAGGATTCACTTCATTATGGAAAGCAATGGCTTAGTTTCAAGTAGATAGAATAGTTCAGGAAGCCAATATGCTTAAATATTTTCCATTTGTCCACACAGGAGTACCAATAGAAACTCAGGGCGTGCCACATTATGCCCATTTTGAACAGTTTAATTTATTGAAAAATTAGATGCATTTCACTTGTTACTGTCTATGCCAAGGAAGTATAGCCAAGCACTTTATCTGAATTGTCATCATTGCATAATTTAAAATCAGCATAAAAATATAAAAATCAAATCTTATCAAGAAAATGGACTTTTGGAGATCAAGCCTAAATTATCAATCTCAATTCACAGATTAGTCTGAGAAATATTCTAAGATCAGCTAGCTAAAGAACAAAATCAGGAAAGAGACATCAAGGAAAAATTGGGTAGTACTGTGGAGGCAATAAGTAGATTTTTCTATAAGCAGTCACCAGATCTGGGAACTGGCAAATAGCTTTCTTTGCCAGAAAGCTCCACTGATGCCTACAAATGAAGTTAGTTGTCTACAAGATACATGTAGGAAGTAATAGTGGTTAAGTGATGGTAGCTGCCTTTTCACTCTGCCCTCTGGGAATGTTTTAAATTATTTATCTTCATGCAAAATTACATTTACAACATTGGAAGATAAGCAGACATAGGCAATTATTTTCATGTCAACTGCATAGTTATACAATGTAGAAGTGATATTTGTAATATGATCCACATGCCCAGGAAATGAAAATGCAAATAGTGTTAGCATTTATATTGAAATATAAAATGTAAAGGAGCCTAAAATAAAGTAAGCTAAATACACTGCAAGAGGCTAAATGATTTAGTTTAAACATGTTAAAGTTTTTAAGCACTAGCTGTAAATATTAATCTTCAGATTTTCAATTTAACATGTATTGACTTACAAACTGTTCTAATAATAACCCTAATTATTTTCTAAGTCACCATTTAAAGGTTTATTTACAGTTGACTTAATCAAATTAAAGTTGCTGAAAGCTTCAACTATTTTTTTTTGACTCTTTCTGGTCAACTGCCTGAAGGCAGGTGAAATATGTATGACAACTAATAGATAAACTAATTTATTTTCTGTTAGTGTATTAATAATATATATTGTGTGTATGATGGTGTATGAGAGTTGGCAATGAAAGCTAGTACAATTATGTTGGCTGGCTGGATATAATAAGGATCAAGAAAGGAATAATAGCATTTACATTTTAAATGTAGTTGATATTATATTCGAAGAGTGGGATAAGCCCTTAAGAAAAATGGAACGTGTTTAAGGCTGTGATTTGGCACACATGGTAAAGTATAATTCTATGGGTAATTTTTCGAGCAAATCAAGGCAGGCAGTGTGTATTGCATTCTGACACTTTTTCATATTATGTTCACTTCTACTGTCTCAGAATTTAATTGCAAAGGTTGTGTGCCCCTGTGTGTGTGTGTGTGTGTGTGTGTGTGTGTGTGTGTGTGTGTGTTTTATGTGCATGATTGGGAATGTTGAGAAATGTATCGGAAGCAATGTAAAAATAAGAGTCACATAATGCCTGGTTAGTGCTGGTGTATTCTTGTCACTTGCCAAGTGACTGTTGGGCAATAACACTAGAAAATATGATACTGAATGAAAAGAGAAATATCTTATTTGCTGTAACAATCTAATTTATATTAGGATAAGGATTTTGATGACTAAGGAAAGAACGTTTAGTTGAATTATTTGTATAATTGTCACAGGTTATTGTGTAGATTTAATCTCATTGTTAACACAGAATATAGAATGTGCATTATTTGTTATGAAATGTTACTGGGCTTTCGTTATCAGTGTGGTATACCAGAAGTTACCTCTAGTCTTCAGTTATAAAATCTAGGTCAGAAGCTCACTTTCACCATATTTTTGCTGTGTCCTAGATGCCATTATAATTCTCTGAACTTTTATAGCTTCATGATTAAAATTGAGTTAATGACTATCCTGTTTCAGAGGCTTGTGAATGATTAAGTGAAAGACTGTGTAAATTGTAAAACACTATAAAAATATAAAGCTTTATCATTGGAAATTAT